GGAAAAATACGTATTTTACTAATTATAATTAGTAAAAAATTTAAGCGTTGCATTATTTTTGATTGCCACTGTATATATATTTAAATAAAGTATTTATTTTAAATTAAGATAAAAAATATTTATTAATAAATTAAAAATTTTAATATAAAAAATAAGTTTTATATTATTTTTAAATAATTAAAAAATATAATAATTATAAATAATAATAATAATATTATAAAGAGATTTAATAATATATAATTATATAATAATTTTAAAATCTTATTACAAATTATTTAAAATAACAAAAAATTTTATTTTATTTTATTTTATTTTTAACTTATTTAAATAAATTTTATTTATTCTTTTTATTTTACTTAATTAATTAATATTAAATTAATAAAAATTTAATTTGTTATTATGTTAAAAATTTTATTCTATCTTATATAATCACATTCTTTTATAATTACTATACTTAAAAAAGTAAAATTTAAATTTTTTAATTATAATTAATAAATAACTGGAAAACTTAAAAAGAATAACTAAAAAAATATGATTATAAAATTATGTTTTTAATATTATTATATTATTTTAAAAGTAAAATATAATATTATGATATTAAGATTTTATATTATAATATCAAATCTCTTACTAAATATAAATATTTTATTATTCTTGAATACTTTTATTTATAAAATTTAAATTATTCAAATATTTGAGTGAATTAATATTATTTAATAATAGTTTAGTAAATTGAATGAAGATCTGGCATGAACTTATGAAAGCAATAGAATGTAATATACAATACTCTCATAATATATTTAAGTTTTTATAATTATTAATGCTTTTGCGCGAGTAAAGCATTAATTGATATTGCGTGAATCATTATTTCACGGGGGATTATAAAAGACAAAGATTTTTGACTTGTAATATCAAAGAAACGATTGGTTGCCTCGACAATAGATTTGCATTTCTGTATTTCACCAACATCTTTATTATGATGACTACTTGGGATAAGAATAGACATTGATTCATGCATTCATCATCCCTCGTTTCTAGTTTTATATTTTTAAGTGATTGTAATAGAAACTCTTGATCAGGAACAAAGATGTGCTTAAATTCTCTGAGCTCTTTAGATGTTTCACTTTAATAGTATACAAAATCCAAAAAATTCATCTCAATGAAACTTCCAAACCTATCGACAAGATTAATCACCTTATTTGACAAATAAAGTCTATCTATTTTTGATTCACCGAAAAAATTTCAATTATGTGTGTCAAAATAAGTAAATCATTGCAAAGCCTCGGTGGACAAAATCAGCGCAAAGTAAACGCGTTTTTTATCACTAATATAAAAAATATAAAAACTAATATTTTTACTAAAAAGCCTCATTCGTAATATAGAGAGAGGCTTATACTTTTACGCGACCAAACTAATAAATTACCAGTATCATTGATTAAATATAAACTCTAAAAGATAAGCCCCATTATGTGAACTCCTGCAAATTATTATTGTATCTCAAAAACAGTCAAATATTTTACTTTTTTTGTTTTTGATTTTGCTTTGTTGCTGTTGTAGCTCCTCAATATTTTCTATTTATTTTTTTGTCAAAATACATTTACACTTGAGAAAGGCACTCTGAAAGAGGATTTCTCACTTTATTACGCAATTATATAGTCCCCGAAAAATGGTTTCTTTTTGTTGTTGTTGGTGAGTTATGACGCATTTCAGTGTTTCAGTGGGGGGGGGGGGGGGGGGAGAGGAGGTACATTTGCTAGAATCACGGAATTGCATTGTCTCGGCACACAAGTTATTGTATAGAAAAATTTGCAAATTTTGAAGATATTGATCCTTTGGAAATTCAACTTTTCAAGTAATTAATTAAATTGATTAAATAACTCGATTTTTTCAGTGTCCCAATTCGGTTGGGGACAATGATTTTGGCTTCGATACTACTGGTGAGGTGAAATCTTTGGATTTCATATTTTTTTAAACTTGAAGGCTTTTTTCATTCATTTGGTTTTTATTTTGTCAGGTTTCTACTGCAATAAACTTATATGTTGTACTTGGACTGTCACAAGGTAGGTCACGTGTTTTCTCGATGAATTCGAATATCTTTAATTTTTATCATTGATTATACTATAATTTTTTTAGTGTGGGGTGGACAAATTGATGAAACACTCAGAGCATTTTTCGGATTAATATATTGTATAGTTGCAGTTGCGTGTCTCTTTGGACTAATTGGATCTGTTGTGGTATGCATTTTTTTCTCATTGTTTTTATTCTATAGGTACAAATATATATTAATCTTGAACTTTGAATATCGTTATAGAGCTCTCGTCGTTCTGTTCGATTCTTCTCTACTATCCTTTGGTTTTTGTTTATTGCTCATATCACTATCGATATTGTTCAAGTAATAGAAATGTACAAACACAAAGACGATCGTATTGCAGATTGCATCGGAAACGTAACACAAGCAGTAAATGATGCTAGCGGAAAGATTAACAATTCCACGGCCAATATTACTCTAGCTAACAACGCAACCAATGCCGCCACCGACAGCGTAAAATCAAAAGTTGAAAAACATTCTCCTGCGGATTGTCAGAAATGGGTGGATATTGCAATGTGGGCGATAGCTATATGGTATGGGATAATTAATCTTTTGTTGGTAAGTTTTATTTCTAACAGATTATAATTATGGATTTAAAATGTATTTATTATCATTGATGAATAATAAATCTAATATTTTTTTTTACTTTAGCTTTACTTTTGCAATGTAGCCGCGCGTTTTGCTCGTCAACTAGAGTCCGAATATCGTCATCATAAACTTAGAGATCATACAAGATCAGCTGTAAATAGATCGGGTAGTCGCACTTCCCTAAATTCGAGTTTGAATTACCAACCGCATAAGGGTATTAGAGGGGGGTCAGATTAATGAAAAATCAACGATAAAAACATAATTTGTCTTACAAAGAGGAATCCGTAGATTTCGTATTGTCATTTTTTAAATTTGAATATAAGTGTTGCATTCGCTCGCTCATTTATCTTCCCATTTTACTCCCAATTATCCAACATATTTCCTTTTTATCGACGATTTTAATCTATATAAATTGAATATCTCTATGATAAATTATACATTAATTAATTAATTATTATTGTTATTTTATATTATGTAAATTTTTTCGTAAAATCTGTATAAAATTTTTTGGTTATTTAAATATTGCAAGTATTTTTATTAATCATATGATTAATGAATGGGCTTTTAAACGTGATTGTGAATGTGGCGTATGCAAAATATTGCAAATATCAAGATTATTTTGATAAAAATTTTGTTTAGCATTTAGTCACAATTCAGGCCAAACATGCAAAATTTTTGACAAACATGTCATGACTTTGCCAACATTACCCGAAGTATGTCAAAAACATGATCTAAAAAACCATAATTAATCAAATCAAGTGACTTTAGATTAGCATTCCAGGTTAGGTCATGTGACTCTATAAAAAAACAATTAATATGGGACGGATCATGTGATTTCAGTTTTTCATTAGACCAAAAAGCGGTCTTGTATCATTTCTGTAATGCTTTTAAAGATCACTAATTTTATTTCGGTCTTTAAGTGATATGCACCATAGTATGGTAGTTCTTTCTTTTATTAATCAATGTTATTAATGTCATTCTTAAAATTACCTGCCATTCAATGTAAATATTTTCAAAACTATCAGTGGTTCTATGAATAAAAAGTTCGTTATAAAAAATTTACTATGTTCTATATAACGAACCTGTAATAAATTCAAGAATTTAAATTCATTATAGCTTGTGTTCGTTATATAAAAAGGTTCGTTACATCCTGTGTTCATTATGAAAAGGTTCCACTTTTTCATTGTATAATAAAGAACCTATTATTAAAGAGCTAATCTGTCTGTTTGCTTCATATTTCTTTTAGTTATGTTGCGCATCTATTGCTTGTAAGTCTTCAAGACGCATCATATTTTGACTGTAGTTGAAGTGTATCGATTAATTGCAGCATATGACTTGAAGTCGCCGGACTTAAATTATATGATGTGGATGGGGGATTTTGTTGGCGCGTAGAAAGGAATTGTCCGAGTTGAGAATTGTCCGGCTAAATATTAAAAAAAATTAAGAATAAAGACTTTTTTGTCCAGAAAAAAGTATTCGTTAACGAATTGTGTCATTATCATACCATAGTCATCTTTAACTGATCAGTTGTACTCCATTTATGCTTCACCATTGATAACAGATCTTTTAATTGCGAGCATCGTCTTCGAATTCAAAAATAATTTCATCAATATTGTATTTCTAAAAAATCAAGATAGATAAATAAAGTCAATATAACGAATTAATTACTTTTTTACTTCCTGTGTTGCTTGCTTTCTTTCATTCAATTGGTTTTCCATGATTAACTTTAATGTCTCACGTGCCTGTAATAGAACCGAGTCTAGTTAGTCGATTAACTAATACTTTGAGCAACAAGATTAAAAAAAAATCATCTACTTGATGTGGTCGATATTCATTCAACAATTGCTTTATATTCATAAATGTGTCTTGCAAATCCTTACTGATAGCGGTTGGTTTCTAAATATAAATCAGAATAAGGATATATAAATTAAATGAATTGTATTTTTTGTAAAACTTTATACGAACGCTTTCATCAAAAGGCTCCGCACTCAACGATCCAAGTAACGCAATGAATTTTCTACAGAGTCTTTTGTTAAGCTTTTTGAGTTCAGTTTGCCGATCTATATAGAATTAACGCGTTTGATTCATATAAGTCCTTACAGCTCTATTAATAATAATCTCATAAGGAAACATTATTACCGACCAAAGTCTCCTTCAGGATATAGTCGTGGGATATTTTCGTCTAAAGTCGCGTTCACCGAAACAACCTTTAAATAAAGAACTCAATTTTATTTAAATGATACGTTTATGATTTTGTTATTTTTGAGTCAAAGAATTGCTTTACCTGCCAAGTTAAACCAAATACATTATAAGAACCTTCAGCGATAGGTTGAGGTGGTTCTAATTCAGTAATGTCAAAGTCTTGCGGTAGTTCATCTTTGAATTCATTTAAGGCTTCTTTTTTGTTTCCTTTATAATTCTTTATCTTCTCGAGAAGCTTTAGATTAGCATCAGTATAACGGGTGTAGAAAGGTGGTGGGTCGGGAATTGAAGAAGTCATTTAGTCCAAGTCGAGAGATCATGCCGATTTTAATTCTCTCGTGATCTAAAATTAAATTTGCATGTGTCGGCTATATATTCTTGCCACACAATTATTTCATTATAAGTGATTGCTTTTTTTCTTTCGCCATTTACCTTTTTGCGAGTGAATAGTTGCTATGTGCACTTTTTTTTCTGGAATTACATAATCATCGTTCTGTCTCATTGCCCATTACTTTTGTGACTTGTTGCCTTCACCTCATATTGTAACGCTGATATAAGAGGGGATTAAGAAATCAAATCATTGTAATCAAACATGATTTTCTAAAATCGGAAAACTTACCAGAGACTTTATTACACTTGAAAATTTTCCCCCGAAATGTCTACCACCACAAGAGAACCAAAGAGGAGAAGAATAACTAACGTGTTGAAAGCGCCTCCAGATCCTAAGAAACAGTTAAAGAAACTTATTGTGAGCTTGACAAAAGACGGTGACAGTGTTTTGAACGAGGAAAACCTCAAGGTTTGTATTATATTTGAGTAAAACAGGTTTTTCTGGTTTAATTCAAATCTCATTTGCAATAGGAAGTAAAAAAGCTTTGCAAAGAATCGAATCAATTAATTGATTTTACGTATGAGACTATACTTGACCAAATAAAAAGTAAACGTGCCCAGGTAAATAAAAACTTTGTGAAAAATTTATACAAAAACACATTATTTTATAATGATCTTATTATATTATATTATATTATATTATATTACAAAAACTTAGGTCCGATATTCAACCCTGCAACTTATCGACGTCCTCTTCAATCGCTCCAAACACTTCAGAGACCTTGTAACAAACAACTTGACAGAAATTCTTCAACATACTATTGGATTACACCAAACATCATTACCTCCGCCAGCTGATATTGCTATAAAGTTAAAAAGGCTTGGGGTCGTACTGTTGAAGCAATGGAATGAAAAATATGGCGTCTTTTATAAACAGGTATCTATAGCAATGATTGATTCGACAAAACATCAGAAAACTAATGTGAAAATATATATATACTTATCCTTTTGATTTATTATATTAACAGCTCACTCTTGCCTATAGAGTCGTAAAGGATAATCCAATAATGAATGTCACTGAAGCTGACGCTTCTAAAGTAATTACGCACGATGGATATGTTAAAAAACGGCATGAGGAACAGGTACTTTTCTTATCGATTGCTTATTCAAAAAAAAGAGAAATTTTCTCCCATCATTTTTGTTGTTGTATAAAACTTTGTGTTACATGATGTAGGTGCGTGCAATTCAAAACGATGAGGCTCGTTTGCAGCAAATTGAGAAGAAAATGCAAGAATCGATTAATGATCTTATTGTTCAAACTTTAGATATACTGGTATGGTTATATATAAAAAGTTTTGTTCCTTTCTTCTTTATTCGCGATTTTACTGCGGGATATTTATAGTGTTGTAACAAAACAACTTATTTTTTGTTCTAAGGAGATTTGTTTTGAGATGTTAGTTCCAAAACCAGTTAAGGATATGGTTTCATCGACCACTACTACATCCGCTATTGTTGATGCTATTGGAACTACATCTGCTACAACTGAAGCTATTGGATCTAATGTTATTGATGATGGTCAGGAATCAATATCCGCTAAGATTATGCGAGAAAACAAAGTTCCTAGAACATTAAAAGAAGTAATATATTGAATTTATGGACTTTTATAGCATAATCCAATCTTGTAAAAATTTTTGTTTTTACAAGAATATTATTAATGTATTATACAGATGGCAGCAGCACACGGATTAGGCTCGAGTAAATATGAACTGACCATCACAATTCCCACCAAAAATCCAACAGGCGTGAAAGAAAATTTGGAGAATAATGTCATTTATGAAAATATCCGTGAATATTCTAAAGTATTGCTAAAACATTTGGACATTGTGAATGGGTGGTTGAACGATTTGGAGAAGTTGAATGTAAATGTAAGTTATTGTAATTGATACATATTTTTATAATATTTATGTCATTTCTATAACATTTATAGTATATACAGCCCCTATCTAGTAAACTTCTAATTTTCATTTTTTTCTTTATAGAGCAAACGGCTTACTGAACAAGCGTACAACCTTAAAAAGAGGTTGGAAACTGTTATAACGCGGTGTGAAGAACTTGGCATTAGAGTGACAGTTGGTATGATATTTATTAATTAATTCTTTTTGTTATATTTTTGTCTGAATTCCTTATTGATATTTTGTAGAAGAAAGAAAGGACAGTGGAGATGATGATTCGGATTTTGAGGAGGTAGAGATAGCAAAAGTTATAATTAATGATGGATCTACTATTACAACAATATCCACCGAGACATCTACATCATCAACCACATCTTCGTCTCTTTCTGAAGAGACTTTGCTACGGCCAAATCAACCTGACATCACACCTTGTCGTGCCCGTCTAAAGAATGGACAGTTGTGTCCACGGCGAGATCTTTATCGGTGTCCATTTCATGGAACAAAAGTACCTAGGAATAATTTTGGAGATCCTATTATTATAACAACCCCAATACTGACAAAATCTAAAATTTGGGAGGATCTTAACGATGAATATGAGGAATTTGAAGAGATTAATGTGGACGAAGATAGTATCGATTTAGGAAAAGTAGACGCGGATCAAGATTAAGGCACCATATTAATAATAAACTTTTATTTTTTGAAACAGACATACAAAATATCGGCTGTGTTTATTAACTCATAAACATTAAGATTTTGCCCAATTTTGGTAATTCCAGCTGGCGTTAAATTGTGAATCAAATCCGCCCAAATGAAAACCCGGATTATCTCAAACCTACGTCATGATAATTAATTAATTGAAATTATTATCAGAGATTAATATAAAATTATCTTTTATTAATGTTGAAAAGCTGATTACAATAATCCATAGCAATTTCTCTATGCAATGATAATTTTTAATCAATATATATAAAAGGCATGAGATTATTAAGAACATCATTATTATCTGTTCTATTTCTGAAATTATTCATTATATTAATTGTAATTATATTAATAATACAAAAAAAATGAGCACTTTGGATATGCTAGCACTCTTCTCTTTTATTGCAGATCCTCTTAATGAATCCACTAGAATCCTATCACAGCAAACTCAAGAAAATAATGGCAAAGAAATATGAATTAATAGATGAGACGCAATTTATCATGTGATTAATTCCCTTTAAATTTTCTGAATTTACTAGATCACATGATAAATTATGTTTTTATGATACAAATTTATTAATAGCCTATTCTTTATTATATAATTTAGAAGTATATTTCAAAATTATTGAACTTGATGACAAGAAATATGTTGATTTAGAAAAAACAACTCTTAATTTTTGCCAAAAACATATTTTTGTAATTGATCTCAATAATGAGATTCTTGAACAGATACATAAGTTTCCCTATTCTATTCAAAAGTTAATTATAAATAAAGTTATAGCTATAAATGCAAGAATAATAAAGGAAAAGCCATCACCAGATCTACAAATATCCCAGTATAATTATATATTTTTTCATTATTATTTACTTCTATATTAACACATTCTTTATCAACATATTTTCAGTTCTAATAAGCTATTAACAGTTAAGATTTGGAACAAATTTCAATGGATATTTAAAGAGATTAATTTTGAAGTATATGAATATCATGAAATGATTGAGCTATCTGAGTTAATTCAGACTCAAGTGGAAAAAGAAGCAGAGATATGAAGGCTTCAAATTGATGAACTTATGGAAAGAGTGTGGGATAAGTATTAGAAAATTGAAAATAAAGGTGATATAGAAGCAACTAAGATATTTATTACATGTTTAGATAAATCATTGGCTTCAGTTTTTAATAATAAAAAATATTAAATTTAAATAATTACATATATATAATTGTGTGTTCGCTAATTGTCTTGTTCACTATTATTATCTGATAATATGTTCAGTCAATAATTACCTTTCACATGATATGAATGAATCACATTATATGATCTGAATCAAATTCTATGTCATGTGAAATGACCTAGCTTTAGTGGGGGAATGCTAAAGCAGGGTAGTGGATTATATGTCAATTCGAATTATGTAAATCCAGATCATGTCAATCTGAATTTACCTATAAAGTTGTATAACCGTACACAATATATTTCATCATTATTGCAAGGTAATTTTTTTTGTTTTTTGTTGAATGGTTGGCGGAGGAATAAAAATAATAAGGATAAGGGTGGATGTCGGTTAAGGAATAATTATGTCAATAACACAAGCTTAAAAATACATTCGTATAAGAAACGCAAAAAAAAAAACCAAATACATTCACGCAAGAAATACAAATCTTATATTTCGAGCTGTGTTTAAGCCGCAAGAAACACTATAAAAACAACTCATATACGCACACACACACACACACACATGCGTACATATACACATGTATACACAAACCACACATACACACAAACCACACGGCACACTACACACCATACACCACACACCACACACCACACGGCACACTACACGCACACCACACGTACACATATGCACACATACATACACACACGCGTGTACACCTTTACACCTCGAATAAGACTTCTAATGCAAGAAATTATTAATCAAAAATGCACGAGTCTTTTTAATATTAATAACTCCTTCGAAGTATCTGAAAAGGAGTTTCATGAAGAATTATGGCCGCTCATATCCAACGTTTGGATGCGATATAACAGCTGGCAATCTCTTAATAACGATTTTTGGATCATTTACACCTGTCGTCTCTTAAAGCATCACGAATCCAGTACGCGGAAAGCAGAGATCCCAGTTGAAAAGAGGAGAAAGACAAGTAAACACGATCCCAACCAGTGTGATGCCAGAATTAAAGTAATGCATATCATCACAACACAAATGGTATGAATCGAATACTATAAAAATGCTTCAGATCATACACACCAAATTGAGGATATTGATCAAATAAAGTGGCCAGAAGTAATCAGACAGCTGGTGACTAATGAAGCAAGCAAACCATATAAACCACCAGCTATCATCACCACAATTAAGGAACTTGCAGTGAATAAGGGGCTTGATACTATCACCCAAAAATTGCGTCGAACCGAAGTGGCGAACATTCAACAAAATATACGCAAATCACTAACTAAACATCTTATAGGTGAAAAAGATCTTGAATCCGATATCCAGTATACTTTGAAATTCCTAACCAACAAAAATTATCGAGTTGAGCGCTTCGAGATCGTGCAGCAATTGCAAAAAGTATCGCAAGGTCTTTGCTTTGCAAATTGTAATCAATTGAAAAAATTACAATATCATGGATGACTAACTCTTATAGACTTGATACATAATACCAATAAGCACTTGTGGTGTCTTTTCACCTTATATATTCGAGACAGTTTCGGTTGCTGGGATGTGGACGCACATTTTCTTGTTAGTAAGGAAGATAATGATATAGTAACTAAGGCGTTAAAGGTGATTTGTCAATTTGAACCTTGTTGGTTTCCTCGTTATATGTTATGTGATCAAAGCAATATAGAAATGAATAGCATCGCAAACATCTTTTCTGGTATTACACGTGGCGAATAAAATTGTAACGTTATTCTTTGTACCATGCATATTATGTGAACATGGCTACGTAAAATTTATCATCCAGTGATATGCAACCAAATAATCTTAGCCATGCATAAAAAGACAAGTATCAGTTGTGAAGAGATTATTAAGAACGCTATTATCATCTGTCCTGTTCCTGAAATTATTCGTTATATTAATCGTAATTACACTAATAATATGGAAAAATGGGCACTTTGGGTACGCCAGCACTCTCTTCTTTTATTGCAGGTCATCTCAACGAATCCACTAGAATCCTATCACAGCGAACTCAAGAAAATAATGGCAAAGGAATACGGATTAATAGGTGAGATGCAATTTATTATGTGATAATTCCCTTTAAATTTTCTGAGCTTACTAGATCACATGATAAATTACGTTTTTATTGTTAATAGTCTGTTCTTTATTATATAATTTAGGAGCATGT